CACATGTCTCTCGGCATCAAGGCTCCCCTGATAAGCTAGTTACTCAGCCAGGGGTGTCCCATTCCACCCATGTGGTCGTACTTGTCTTATGTTCGGATGAAAATTCCAAGGAAACGGTCCTTAAGTGCAAGAGCGGGAAACCGTACACCCGGTACGTTCCCCGGTCCGCGGTGTTGGAAATTCATTTAGTTCGCAAGCACCGACCCAGGTGTCGGGTTTTCCAAGTCTTTTGTAAAACCCAAGTTTTACCCAAGATGTTTTTCAGATTTTAAGTTTGAAGGCGACCGTCGATACTCGTGCAAAGTGCACGATTTCCGAGGCGCAACTGGGTGGTTACAAGGGAATATGGTATAACAATTAACAAAGGAAGGATCAAATGCAACAAATTAGGTAGGTCCGCCAATCTGCCTTGCAGACGAGACAAGCAGATTAAGTGCGATCCTATCAATGCATAATATTTTTCAAGCAACATATTTAAGTTCAAATATAGGCTCAAGATGTTCAAAGGTGGCTTGCCTCGCTCGAGATCTTGAGCTTGATCCTCGAAATCCTCGCACTGCAGGTCTTCGGGCTTCGAAACTACACGCAAAACGGGACAACTCAACAAACGGCGAAAATAAAGCCCTATTAATGACCTCTAAGCGTGCCATTAGATAGATCTCGAGATTTGACGAATTTTGGAAGTTGAACGGAGTCAAACGGATTTACGGTTGGGAAGATATTGAATTTCTAAGGTTATTGGATTTTTGGTCTAAAGGAAAAGGATTTATTTAAATCCTTTTTGAAAAAGAAAAGAAAAGAAAAGAAGGAGGGAGGGAAATTAGACTTCCCTCGGGCGGCTAGGGCGTGGCCCGAGAGAAAGGGGCGGCTCGGCCGAGCTTAATGGGCCGGCCGGCCCAAGAAGGCGGCCCAAGGCACGCGCGCAGGCGGGGAGGGGAGAGAGAGAGCCGGTGGGCCGGGTCCATCCCGCGTGGTCCCGGGTGGGACCCGCTTGTCGGTGGCTCGGCTCACCGTGCGGAGGGAGCACGCGGCGCGCGCTAGGGTTCGGGGAGAGAAACGCGGTGCACGCGCGCGGTTCGCGGAGGACGCGGATGCGGCGGGCCCACGCGCAGCCTCACGTCTCGCGGTGGACCGCGCCCGCGAGCGTGGTCGGAGGGAGCGGCTGGCCGGGGTCGGCTCGACCCGGTCTTGGCCGAGCTGGCGCCGACGTGGTGCCTACATGGCTGCCACGCGGGCCGGCGGGAGGTAGACGACGATGTCGGCCGAAACGGACGGCGGATGGCGGCTGCGAAAGACGGGGCGAACCACGGCGATACAGGCGAAAGCAAGCACACCGGGTGGTTGCACGAGACGAGGGGAGACGAGCCAACGGCTCGGATTCGCCGGAGGGAGCTCGACGGCGGCGGATTGCGATGGCGGCAACCGGCGGCGAGGGAAGGGGGAAACGGCGATGAGGTCACGATGGGCCGATTCCCGGCGGTGAGAGCATCTACGCGGCTACGGGAATCCGTTGCTAGTGTCGGATTGGGTGGAGCGACGCCGAGCGAGGCCGGCGACGAGCAGGCGTTACGGAGCACGGGCGGCGACGGCGGCGAGCACACAGCGAGCGGCGGCAACGGTCGGGGCGGCGCCAGCTAGCTACGGGAAGACTACACATGCTACTACCGAAAACTAAGGGGAGGAGATGGAACGAGGAGAGTGAACGGAGGAAGGCACTACCGAGATGAGGCGGGGCGCTGTGACGAGAGGCCGACGGCACTGGAGTGATCTCTCCGGCCTCGGGCCAGGGAAGAGGAAGGAGAGGGTGCGTCCGGAGTCCCCTTCCGCGTCCTAACGCGCACCGGCTCCTCCGGCACACGCGATGGCGGCGGCCGGCGAGAGAGACAGCAATGGCGCGGGCGAGAAACGGGGAAGATTGGGAGGGGAAAGAGGAAGGGAGGCGCTTGGGTTTATAGGGCGGCGATGTCGGTTTGGAAACCGACCTTGGGCGGTCAAGGGAGCGAGCTGGCGCTCGTCGCTCGTGGCCAAAACGGCGACAGAGGCGGATGACGCCGGTGGGGAGGGGAAAAGGAAAAAGGAAGGGAGAAAGGGAGCTTGCCCCTTGCCACTTTGGGAAAAGAAGGAGGGAGCGGGGGCGACGCGGCAGAGGGAGGAGGAGCTCTGCCTCCGTCCCTTGGAGGCTAGCGCGTGGAGTGGCGGGGGCCGGGTTGTGACGACGGCGATGACGGTGGGGGCGGTGTGGAGCGGAGCGGCGACACGGGCGACAGGCGCGGGCAGGCGCGGCAGATGCTGACGGCGGCAGCGACCAGGCGGTCGGCCACCATGGCGCGCGCGCGCGCGTAAAGCAACGGGCGGCGCGGCGATTTCGGCGGCGTCGGCGGGAAGCGGCAGCGAGGGAGGAGGGCGCTCAGCTCGGCGCGGTTCACGCGCACGCGTGTGCAGCGCACGGGCAGAGCGGGGGAGAGGGGGAGAGAGAGAGAGAGAGAGAGGGAGATGGGCCGAGAGGGATTCGGCCCATCGAACCCGAGGGAGGCGAAATAGACTTTTGCGGAGGGATTTGATTTGGGAAGGATTTGGATTCGGGATTGAACTCAACGATAGATCGGGGATCTGAGATCTGAGATGGTACGGACACTAGTCAACAAGCAAAGAAACGGATTTCGCAAATAGGGTTTTTAAGAGATAGTTTTCCCGCTAGGCGCCACGACGGAACGGGCGCTACATTAGGACTGTTAATTGTGGTTGTTTAAGGCTGAATGAGCCGGAGTTGTGATGCTGTGCCGATAATATTCCTTTTTTATTTATTTATTTTGGCCAGAAATAAGAAAACATAAGTAGCACATCATCTACTCCCATTTTCGTGATGCAAATTTATTGACCAGCGGTTCAATCACATATTTACACCAACGAAATTGTTGCTAAACCTGAAGCACCATATATATATATATAGAGTATTCAATTCAACCATACACAAATACAAACAAAGGGTAATCGATCACTGATGCTATTCCTAATGCAGAAGAAGAAAATGATGCAAATGATATGTATTTCATTCGCTCATATACAACGACAGAGCGATGAATCACTGCTGCACAACGCTTACTGTGGTTGCCATCACTTTTTTGCCGGGTCGGGTGGCTGCCATCAATTTTTTTTTTAAACCGTAGCCAGGCTAACTTAGAGTTATATTAAAGAGAATAAAAAGTATTTACAATATCATCAAGGAAGGAAGGTGAAAGAGAGAGAAAAAAGAAAACATGAAGAAAAATAGAAAAGAAACACACACTAAATAAAATGAAAATCTAAGCGGATATTCTCGCAATATTTTTTGCCCCACACATGCGCCATAACTTGACATAGTCCTTTCTAATCTTGTTCAGTGTCACGACCACATCGCTCATCGCCGTCCTTTGCTCGGGGGAGCCAGCCGAACAGAGCAAGCCCAGCTCGAACACTGGCACAAGGAAGCCATGCATGTTACCTGCGGCGGCTACACGATACACCAACCCACTGGCAGAACGGCGTGCCGACGGTCCAGTTGCCGGCAAGGTGAAGGATGTTGTTAGGATCAGAGAGCTGGGCTTTCAAGGCAAGCAGTGCAGAGAGGTCGGTGTCGCTGCTGTTGCTCCTGCTCTGACCTAGAGAAGGAGCAGCAGCAGCAGCAGCCACAGTGGATGAAGTGATCAAGAACAACACAACGGATATGCATAATATTGGAGATGCAAACTCCATGTTTGGGCTCTGATGCATTGCCAAGATGATGGTTGCATTGTTTATGGGGATTATCGGCTTGAGATTTATTTAGCTCTCCATTCCTCTTGTGCATGTATGTATGCTGCATCCAACCATCTATGACCTTCAACATCCAAGACTTTGACTATCAGTCAACCTGAGGTCAACAATTGCAGGAAACTACATTATGAATCTTTTTTTTTTCTGGAATACTTCTTTGTGCACTTTTGTATTAAGAGACTGTGAACCTTATCTAGCTCCTGTACTGTTCCCATTTTAAAAGGGGGTGAAGGAGACCTTGATGAAAAGAGGCCAGGATTAGGATTTGTAGTTGGGTACCAATCTGAGCCGTTGGTTCTTGTCGCCGGGAACGGAGAGGAGTTCGCCGCCGCCGCCGCCGCGGGCTCCCTGTCCTACCCAGGACCCTGCCACCGCTCCCACCTCTTCCGCTGCCACCATCTCCACCAACTGCTCATGCGGCCCCCATCCCCCTCTTCGCTCCGCCCAGTTTCAAGTCGCCGCCAAGATCCAGGACCTCCTCGACGCGGCGCGCTCGCCGGAGTCAGCATCCCCAAGATGCTGGGCTGCTTTCAGTCCCTGATGAAGGATTTCAAGGTATTTGATCTCTGACAACTCCATGAAAACGTGTCTGCTTTTCACAACTCGTATGCTGATTTGAACCATCTCCTGTCTCTTCACATCCTAATCGTGGTAGCTAATTGGCGTGATTCTTCACTTATCTATCTATCTATCTATCTATCTATCTACCCATTGGTTGATTAATTCATCTAGATATTTTTGTTCTTACCAAAGATTATCTCTTGGACTGTTGCGTACTCGTTGATTTCGGTATCATCGATTTGTCCTAAATAATAAGAACTATAATCATATTTCCATTTCCCGTTTGGGCAGTGTGTTCATTGTTCTCTCCATTTCAATGTTATAAATCAAACATTGCAAATCGTAAACAAGATAGTAATATATAAGGAAAACTATCCTGTGACCTATGACTATGAGCGTATCTATGCAACAGATCATTTCCTGCCATGTCATGGTGCAAATTTATGTAGCAGCAGATCAATCACAGATGTACGCAATTTAACTATTGTGTAACTAACTAAGAAACAGAAGAGATTTATTCATATTCATCCATACACATAAAGAAGTAAAGAGTAATTGATGCTATTCTTCTGTTATTCTTAATTAATGCAGAAGCAAATATGGATGCAGAGGATGATTCGTTCTTTCGTATACGCAGTCAGGCAGGGTCAATGGAACACTGCTGTTTGGTTCTCATCTCTTCCCATAGTTGCTATCGACTTGACGTACTCCTTCCTAATCTTCTTCAACGTCACAACAACATCACTCATCACCATTCTTTGCTCTGGCGAGTCAGACGAGCAGAGCAAGCCCAGCTCAAACACTGGCATAAGAAAGGCATCAATGCTACTGGTAGAAGAAGAGCTGTCCTGTAGAAGTTGGCCATCTACGACATGGACAAGGTTTGCAGGAAATGCCTGAAGAACCCACTGCCTGATGTTTAGTTCTCCCACAAACATAGCATCTGTTGGTCTCTTCGCAGTGAACACTTCAAGCAACATGATCCCATAGCTGAATACATCGCTCTTCCGTGACGCTTTACCAAGGGCCCCGTACTCTGCTCAAGAAAAATTGGTCACCAAACATTAGTTGCACCACTTGATAATTACTCTATAAAAGATCAACAGGTTTTATCAAGCACAAATGCGACTAATTACCTGGTGCCATGTACCCAACTGTTCCTGGCATGCTAGCAGAAATGATGGAGTTATCATCACCTAACAGCAGCCTTGCAATGCCAAAGTCTGACACATGTGCTGTCATATCATCATCAAATAGTACGTTGCTAGGCTTCAAGTCACAGTGCAGGACCACCTCGCAGTGCTCATGGTGCAGGTATTCCATTGCCAGCGACACGTCTAGCATAATGTCCAACCTCTCAAGGAAACCTAATTGCATTCTTTGATCAGAGTGTAGGAGTGCCTCTAAGCTTCCGTTGGGCATGTACTGAAGAACCAGTGCTCTGAAGTCCAGGTTGGAACATGTGTTCAGTATCTTTATCAGGTTGCGATGTCGAGCCATTCGAAGAACACGGCACTCAGTATCAAAGCTTCTCAGGGCATGTTCCAGATGCTGGTGTATAACTTTTATGGCAACCACCAAACCGCTGCTCAGCTGACCCTTAAAAACTTTTCCAAAGCTTCCAGACCCCAACATATTATCATCACTGAAATCATTAGTAGCATGAGCAAGCTCATTATATGAGAGTAATTGATGATTTATAGTGTCAACCATATCAGCAGGATTCTCTTGATGCTTAACTTTCTTCCTAATCATTACATATAGGCAACAAGCTACAACTCCAACTGATATGAATATAGCGAGAAGTAAATATTTTAGCATTTGGCCATTTCTTTTGTGAGAGGTTTGGCACAGTGAAAATCCTAAACGGGCAACACCACATAGCCCTGGGTTTCCCACCAAGGATTGTAGCGTGATGTTTGTGAAGACACCTCCTTCTGGTATCTGACCATGCAGATTGTTGAAAGACAGGTTCAAGCTTGTGAGGATGGTAAAATTGGCCAGATATTCTGGGATTGTACCCGAAATTCTGTTGTGAGATAGATCCAAAGTTTGCAAGCCTGTCAAGTTGCCAAAAGAATTTGGAATCGAACCATCGATTGAATTGGTTGATAGGTTCAAGATGGTTATCATCTGAAGTTCCCCAATCGAATCAGGGAGGCTCCCAAGAAAGCGGTTCCTGGATAGATCCATGCTGTTTATTCGCTTCAGTTGGCCTATATCAATTGGCAATGCACCACTCAAGAAGTTTTGAGACAGATTTAGCTGGATAAGGCTTTCAAGACGAAATAAGCTGGGTGGTAAAGTGGATGATAATTGGTTATTAGATAACCTTAGGATCTCTAACTTGGTGAGGTTGCCGATGCCCTTTGGTATGGAGCCAGAGAATTTGTTGCCTTGAAGGAATAAATGTTCTGCATTCTTTAGCATTCCGGCATTTGATGGGATGGAGCCAACCAAGCTATTTCCACTAAGATCAAGCTCAAGGAGATTCTCCATCTCCATGATTGACTCTGGAATTGCCCCTTGCAGTTGGTTGTCTGAAAGTTCTATCACTCTAAGGCCAGTTAAATTCGAAAAGGAAGGTGGAAGTTGACCAGTTAACTTGTTCCTATGTGATCTGAATTCTTGCAGTGTACCTGATAGGTTCCCAATGTAATCTGGGATGCTTCCAGTGAAGTAATTCATGCCAATATAGATCCAGGAAAGATTTCTACAGTTGGAAAACGTAGAAAGGAAGTTGAGATCCCCATGTAAACGGTTTTCCGAGACAATAAAGTCTGTTAAATAGTTAATGTTCCCTATTGATGCTGGAACCGATCCATCCAACTGGTTTTCGTTCAATACCAGGCGTGCTAATGAAGACAGGTTGCCAAGAGAAGCTGGAATCGGTCCTGTTAGTTGGTTCCCTAAAAGTTGTAACTCCCAAAGTTGGTCTAGCTGTCCAATATCCACCGGGATGGCTCCTGTTAGGTTGCAACCGTTGAGATCTAGTGCAGTCAGCATGGTGAGGTTGCTAAGTCCTGCAGGGATCGGACCAGCATCAAAGTTATTCCAACTCAAGGTGAGGCCAGTGAGATTCCTCAACTTGGACAGCCATGATGGCAAAACACCCTCGAATAGATTGTCATGCATGGAAATGGTTTGAAGGTATGGGCATGCTGCCAGTCCCATTGGAATTTGACCAGTAAAATTGTTTATACTAATGTAGATCCGTTGTAGTGCCGGGAGGCTGAAACTTGTGTTGCCCGGGATAGGGCCAGTTAAGCCATTCGAGGCAAGAGCAATAACAGTTAACCTAGACATGTTGAAGATGGATGGTGGCACTGGGCCTGTGAGATTATTGTGCTGTAGGACAAGCCACTCAAGCATGTGCAAGGAGCCGATGCAACCTGGTATTGGTCCTGACAGGCTATTGTTGCCCATGATCAGGCGACGCAATGAAGGCGTATGGTTGAATAGGTCGTTTGGTACCAAGCCAGTGAGGTAATTCGTCTGGATATTTATGTTGATAAGGCTACGCAGGCCCTGCAACTCTGTTGGGATTCGACCAGATAGCTGGTTAAACTGGAGATTAAGAAGCTGAAGCCTGGAGAGGTTCCCTATGGTGGCTGGGATGCCACCTAACATGGCATTGTGGCCAAGATCAAGGAGCTCCAGGCGATGCAGCCTTCCTATGTCATCCGGCAACAAGCCTGTGAGGCCAGTGTTGGTGAGATTGAGGACGGAGAGGAAAGATAGGTTACCGAGGTGGGAGCTGAGCTCTCCTTGCAGGGGAACGTTCGGCAGCTCCAGGGCAACGACACGCTGCTGATGGCGGCTGCACGAGACGCCCACCCACTGGCAGAACGGCGTGCCAGGGGTCCAGTTGCCAGCAAGGATGTTGTCAGGATCATGGAACTGCGCTTTGAAAGCCAGAAGTGCAGTGAGGTCAGTGTCGTTGTTGCTGCTCTCGGTCAGACCTGGAGAAGAAGCAGCAGACACAGTGGACAGGGGGATCAACAACAAAGCTGATAAGCATACTAGAGATCCTAAAGCCATGTTTGGGCTCTGATGCATTGCCAACAAGATGGCGCTATTTCAAGGGATGATTGGCTTATATTTATCCAATACATCATTCCGCTGTGCATGCAGTCATCGCCTTCAATTGTAAACTCTTTTCCCTACCTTGCTTAATCAATCTTGTCGGCGTCAATCTGGTTGCTCGGTGATGAAGTCAACCAAGAAGATGCCATAATTTCAGGGGATGATTAGCTTGAGATTTATTCCACTGCTCAAGTAAACATCTGCCACCTTCAATTATAAATTGTTTTCCCTCCATTGCTCAATAAATTTGTTGGTATCAATCTGCTGGTCTGGTGCGGTGAAGAAATCAACCAAGAATATGGCATTATTTTAGCGGATGATTGGCTTGATATGTATTCAGCGCTCAACATTACCCTGCCCTTGCAACCACATGGTATGGTGCCTTCAATTGTAAAATGTTTTCACTTCCCATATGCTCTATAAATTTGGGTGTCAATCCGCGGCCGGCGAAAAAGTCAATCAAGAACATGACATTATTTCAGAGGATGATTAGCGCTGAGATTTATGGAGTTCTCCATTCTTTGTGGATGCAACCATCTGGGCTCCTTCAATTATGAACTGTTTTCCCTCCATCGTTCTATACATTCGGGCAGTGCCAATCGGTGGACCCGGCAAAAAGTCAACCAATATGTCATTATTTATGATTGGCATGAGAATTATTCAGTTTTTCTCTATATCTACTGAACGTGTCATTGTTTTGTTGATTGCATCCATCCGGTGCCTTCAATTATAATTTTTTTCGCCTACATTGTACTCCCTCCATCCCTAAATGTTTGACACCGTTGATTTTTTTAAACATGTTTGACCGTTCGTCTTATTTAAAAAATTTAAGCAATTATTAATTTTTTTCTTACCATTTGATTCATTGTTAAATGTACTTTTATGTATACATATAGTTTTACATATTTCGTAAAAGTTTTTGAATAAGACGAACGGTCAAATATGTTTTAAAAAGTTAACGGCGTCAAATATTTAGAGAATGAGGGAGTATAAATTTGGGCAGTGTCAATCTGCCGACCAGCAGCCAGAGGTGAAAAGGTCAACCAACCAAGAAAATGTCACTATATCAGGGGATGATTGGGTTAAGATTTATTCAGCTTTCCATTAATTATGCCTTGCATGCAACCATTTAATTTGGCGCCATCAATTATAAACTGTTTTCAAGGGAATAACTAGTCAATCTAGGCATTCTGGTAAAAGTATGCATCTCCGTTGTCTGGCTGTATAGATGGACATGTGTTGACAGTAATGTTCAGGTTCAGATTATATGTATCCTGATTCCTGAATTGAGTACTACATCCTTCGGTTACAGAAATATGTCGCCCGCCGTCCGCCGGTCGCCAGCGGTTGCAATCTTCACAATCACGGTGGTCACACGCCTGTGCGTGAGTGTAAGACGGAAGCAGATCCTCTAATATGAACTCCCTACTAACGTGATCACTGATAGGTGGGCCCGCAACCGCAAGCGATGGGGCCCTCATGTCAGCCACCATGTTCCTCTTATTTTACTTCAGAGGATCCTAATCCGTGTGAGATAGGGGTGAAAACGATATAGAAACTTTCCGGATTCCAGACTTATTTTCGAAAACGGAATCTATCAGTCGTAATTTTTTCGGAAACGTAAACGAATTCGGAAATATTTTCTCGGAAACGGAATAAAAAATGATAAGGGCAATTTTCGCTGGAACTCAGAATCGGTCGGAAACTTTTCGGAAATTTTTGTGACTGAAATACTCTGGATTCTTTTTTTTAAGCACTAAATAGTGAATACCATGTTATTTGGCTGTTATTTTTTAAAGAGTAAATTTCAGAAAACTATACGTTTTGTGGTCCAAGTTGCAGAAAACCACACACTTTGACACTTGACACTTAAGTACATATATTTTGGTAGTGTAGTTTCACAAAACCACACTATCAATGAAAGGATTCACCCGCGAGATGACGTGGCTGTTTCACAAAGGACGAGGGCGTGGCATCCTATTACCAGCCATCGCACGAAATTAATATGATATGCCACATCATCATCCTAGATGGAATAACTACGTCATCACACGGGTGAATCCATTCATCGATAGTGTGGTTTTGTGAAACTAAACTACCAAAATATATGTACTTAAGTGCCAAGTGTCAAAATATGTGTGGTTTTCTGTAACTTGAACCATGAAACATGTAGTTTTGTGAAATTTACTCTTTTTTAAAAAATATTTGCTATGCAAATATGATGTTACATAAGAATATTTTTTTCCTGCAGTGGGATTTACCACCAGCATTACTCTCTTAAACATAGATAATTTATTCCATAGATTGTGTTTTATGATGTACTGTTGAGAATTAACAATTGGACTTATATGATTGTGTTTTATAAATAATTGTTGACCGTTGAGACCTGAGAATTGGATTTATCAGTTTGAGGGGTTGTTGTATTCCGATAAATTTTCGTTACCGTATTCACGCCGGTTCGTTTTCACTCCGTTTTCGGTTTCGATAATATTCAATTCCGTTTTCGTATCGGGGTTTCCGATTCCGAAAAAAATATGAAAACGAAAACGATAAAAGTGGCAGAATTTCAGAAAGGACCATTTTGCAAATATTACATCCATATCAGGTGTTGTTTCGTAAATTTCAGTGCCGAAAATTTAATGTCGGTTAAAGAAAGGGATTTTTATGAAAAAACGTCAGGAGGAGGAGGAGAGTTGGGTACCAATCTGAGCCGTTGGTTCTTGTCGCCGGAGACCGCCGCCTCTCTCTGACGCCGGCGGCGGCCTCCCCGTCCTACCCAGGACTCCGCCACCGCTCCCATATCCTCCTCGTCCACCTCTTCCGCCATCGCCATCTCCAGTTCCTCCACCAACTGCTCATGCCGCCCCCATCTCCAGTACCTCTTCGCTCCGGCCAGCTGCAACTCGCCGCCAAGATCCAGGACCACCTCGACGCTGCCGCGCGCGCCGGAGTTGGCTGAGTGGCGACCACCCGCAACCCAAGCTGCTGTGCTGCTTCAGTCTTGGAGGAAGGATGGATTTCAGGGTAATGGTCTCTGCGAACCCCCATGAAAATATGTGCTTTTACTGAACTCCAATGCTCACTTGAACCAACTCCTACCCAACATCTACACATTGCTTGATCTCTTCATCTACTAGATATCTTTGTTCTTAGTAATGATTATCGCTTGGACTGTTGCGTTCCATTTCCCATTGGGTAGTGTTCGTTGTTCTCTCCATTTCTGTGTTGTCAAAAAAAAAAATTGTGCAAATTGGAAAGAGGATATGAGGAAGGCTATATATCCTATGGGCCATAACAGAGCGGGCATGTCAGGCAACCAGTGAAGCACATGTCTTAATGTCCAGTGTTTGCACCCAAACTTGATTCCTTTTCTAGGTTTGCAATGTTCTTTTTTCTATTATTATTATTATTTTCACCTGAAAGTAAGCACATTCAAGCAGCATCCATCATTTACTCCCATTTTTACAGTGAAAATTCATGAAGCAAAAGATCAGTCATACATGTACACCAAACAAATATTGTATAACTAACGAACAGAAGAAATATGTTCATATTTGACCATAATAAAGATATAGAGGCAAAGATTAATTGATCACTGGACATGTTGCTGATGCTATTCTCTTGTTATTCTTAATGCAGAAGCAGAAATGGACACAGAGGACAATTCATTCTTTCGTATATGCAGGCAAGGCCACGCTTCCTGTCGTTGATATCGATTTGACATAGTCCTTCCTAATCTTCTTCAGTGTCACAACCACATCATTCATCGCCATCCTTTGCTCCGGGGAGTCAGCTGAGCAAAGCAAGCCCAGGTCAAACACTGGCACAAGGAAGCCATGCAAGCTACTGGGAGAAGAGCAATCTTGTAAAAGTCGGGTGTCCAGTACATGGACAAGCTCTACCAGAAACGCCTGGTAAACCCACTGCCTTATGTTCAGTTCCCCCACAAACATAGCATCTGTGGGTCTTTTCCCAGTGAACACTTCGAGTAGCATGATCCCGTAGCTGAACACATCGCTCTTTCGTGACGCTTTTCCAAGAGCACCATATTCTGCAGGAATAAAATTGGTCAATGCTTATTGATTGCACCATACGATAATTATGAAAATACCACTACTTTGAGCAAGAGTACAGAAGCTGCTAGTACCTGGTGCCATGTACCCAACTGTTCCCGGCATACTCGCAGAGATCATGGAGCTGTCATCACCTAACAATAACCTTGCAATGCCAAAGTCCGATACATGTGCAGTCATCATCGTCAAGTAGCACGTTGCTAGGCTTCAAATCACAGTGTAGGGCCACTTCATGGTGCTCATGATGCAGGTATTCCATTGCCATTGAAACATCTAGCATAATGTCCACCCTCTCAAGGAAACCTAATTGCATTCTTCCTTCAGAGTGCAGGAGTGCCTCTAGGCTACCATTGGGCATGTACTCAAGAACAAGTGCTCTGAAGTCTAGGTTGCTACAAGTGTTCAATATCTTTATCAAGTTCCGATGTCTAGCCATTCGAAGCACATGACACTCCGTATCAAAGCTTCTCATGGCATGTTCCAGATGTTGGTGTATAACTTTTATGGCAACCACCAAACCGCTACTCAGCTGACCCTTATAAACTTTTCCAAAGCTTCCAGCCCCCAACATGTTATCATAACTGAAATTATCAGTAGCACGGACGAGCTCTTGGTAGGAGAGTAATCTGTTGCTGATCATGTCAACCATACTAGAAGAAATCTTTTGATGCTTCTTAACTTTCATTCGGATGACTACATATAGGCTGAAAGCAAAAGCTCCAACTACTATGGTTATAGCAGGGAGCAGATATTTTAGCATGCGGCCATTTCTTTTGGAAGAGGTTGTTTGGCATGATGGAAGTCCTAAACGTGCAACACCACATAACCCTGAATTCCCCACCAAGGATTGCAATGTGATATTTGAGAATACACCCCCTTTTGGTATCTGACCATGGAGATTGTTGAAAGACAAGTTCAAGCTAATAAGTATGGTAAAATTGGCTAGATACTTGGGGATGGTACCAGAAATATTATTATGGAATAGATCCAAAGTCTGCAAGCTAGTTAGCTCACCAAAAGAATCTGGAATTGAATCATCGAATGAATTAACAGATAGGTTCAAGTAGGATATCATTTGAAGTTGCCCAATCGAATTTGGGATGCTACCAGTAAAGCGATTGGTAGAGAGATCTATGTTGTTAATTTGCTTCATATTGCCTATATCAACCGGCAACACATCACTGAAAAAGTTATGAGATAGGTCTAACTGGATAAGGCTAGAAAGATGAAATATGCTCGGTGGTACAGTTGATGATAATTGGTTATTTGATAGTACTAGGTGCTCTAACTTGGTGAGGTTGCCCATGTCCTTTGGTATGGAGCCAGATAATTTGTTGCTTTGAAGGAATAGCTTTTCAGCATTCTTTAGCATTCCGGCATTTGATGGGACAGAGCCAGCCAGGCTATTTCCACTGAGATCAAGCCACCGGAGATTCACCATTTCCATGATTGATTCTGGTATTGTACTGTGGAATTGATTATCCGAAAGTGCTAGCACCATGAGGCCAGTTAAATTCGAAATGGTAGACGGAATTTCACCACCTAACTTGTTTCCAGCTACAACAAATGACTGCAGTGTGCTTGACAGGTTACCTACATAGTCTGGGAGGTTTCCAGTGAAATAATTAGAGTCAACTCGAAGGAAAGAGAGCTTTCTACAGTTGGAAACAGTAGAAAGGAATTCAAGATCCCCCTGTAGGTGGTTTTCCGCAATATTTAATCCCCTTAGCGAGTTCATGTTACCAACTGTTGCTGGTACTAATCCATCCAACATGTTTCCCATCAATAGCAGGTATGATAATGCAGAAAGGTTGCCAATAGAAGCAGGAATGGGTCCTGTTAGTTGATTCATTGAAAGATGCAACTCTGAAAGTTGGCCTAGGTGTCGAATGTCCAACGGTATGGGTCCTGTTAGGTTGCATGATGCGAGATCTAGGACACTCAGCATGGTGAGGTTGCCAAGTGCAGCAGGGATCGGACCAGCATCAAGTTTATTCCCTCCCAAGGAGACGATATTGAGATTCGTCAGTTTGCCCAGCCATGGTGGGAAAGCACCTTGGAATAAATTATTAGGCAGGCCAAGAACTTGGAGGTACTGGCATGCTGCAAGCCCTACTGGAATTGGACCAGTGAAATCATTTCTAGTGATGGAGAACCATTGCAGAGCTGGGAGGTTGAAACTTGCGTTGCCAGGGAGAGGACCAGTTAAGCCGTTCAAGCCAAGAGCTAAAGCACGCAGCGTAGACATGTTAAAGATGGCTGGTGGAACTGGGCCTGTGAGATTATTGACTTGCAGGACGAGAGTCTGTAGTATTGGCAAGGAGCCAATGCAACCAGGTATTGGTCCGGACAGGCTGTTGTTACCAATGTTGAGATAAGTTAGCAAATGTGTATTGTTGAATAGATTGTTTGGTATCAAGCCAATGAGGTAGTTCCTACGGAGATTAATACTACTAAGGTTCTGCAGGTTCTGCAGATCTGCTGGGATTGGACCAGATAGACTGTTAAACTGGAGATCAAGAACTTGAAGCCTCGTGAGGTTCCCTATGGTAGCTGGGATTCTACCTGACAGAGTGTTATAGCCAAGCTCAAGTATCTCGAGGCGATGAAGCCTTCCTATATCATCCGGGAGTGACCCCGTGAGGCCGGTGTTGGTGAGGTTGAGGATAGAGAGGAAAGAGAGGTTACCGAGTTGAGGGCTGAGCTCTCCTAGCAAAGGAGTGTCCCGCAAATCTAGGGCAGTGACGCACTGCCGGTGGTGGCTGCAAGAAACACCCACCCATCGGCAGAATGGCGTGCCGACTGTCCAATTGCTGCCAAGGATGCTGAGAGGATCACTCAGCTGCGCTTTGAAAGCCAGCAGTGCAGCAAGGTCGGTTTCGCTGCCGTTGCTCTTGCTCGGACCTGGTGGAGAAGCAGCACTCACAGTGGACAGAGCAATCAACAGCACAATGTATATCCATACCAGCAATCCAAGCGCCATGTCTGAGCTCTTATGCATTGGCACGGCAGGAATAATCAGCTTGAGGTTAATTTATTTAGCTCTCCATTCCATTGTGCATGCAGGCATCTGGTTCTTTCTAAATCTAAGATGTTGACTATTGGTCAACCTGACATGAACAAGTCCAACTGTCCAAGCATGCATGATGATTTTTCCTTCCCTAGTCTAAAAGCATATGAGCACATGCAACTTTTTCCCTTTCCCACTTGTGACTAACCAAGACCTTGATAGATACAGGACAAATAGCTATCAGTATTCTTAGAAAAGATTATCTCCCTGACTGTTGCATACTCGTTAATTTCGGTATCATTGACCTGTTCTAAATAATGACTACAATTTTATAAATCAAAGATTTTGCAAATTGTAAAAAAAAAAAGAAATGAGGAAAATTATCCTGCGGCCTATAAGCAGAGCTGGCCTGTCAGGCAACCAGTGAAGTCCATGTCTTATCTTGAATGTTTACACCCAAACTTCATTCCTTTCTAGGTTAGAATATTCTTTCTTATGTTGGCCTGGACATAAAGCATATTTTAATAGCAGATCATTTACAACCATATCATGGTGCAAATCCATGAAGCAGCAGATCAATCATACATGTACACAATTTAAATATTGTGTAACTAGCTAAGAAACATAAGAGATTTATTCATATTCATCCATACACATAAAGAAGTAAAGAGTAATTGATCATTGGACAAGTTGCTGATGCTATTATTCTGTTATTCTTAATGCAGAAGCAAATATGGGTGCAGAGGATGATTCGTTCTTTCGTATACGCAGTCAGGCAGGGTCAATGGAACACTGCTGTTCGGTTCTCATCTCTTCCCATAGTTGCTATCGACTTGACGTACTCCTTCCTAATCTTCTTCAACGTCACAACAACATCACTCATCACCATTCTTTGCTCTGGCGAGTCAGACGAGCAGAGCAAGCCCAATTCAAACACTGGCATAAGAAAGCCGTCAATGCTACTGGTAGAAGAAGAGCTGTCCTGTACAAGTTGGCCATCTATGACATGGACAAGGTTTGCAGGAAATGCCTGAAGAACCCACTGCCTGATGTTTAGTTCTCCCACAAACATAGCATCTGTTGGTCTCTTCGCAGTGAACACTTCAAGCAACATGATCCCATAGCTGAATACATCGCTCTTCCGTGATGCTTTACCAAGGGCGCCATACTCTGCTCAAGAAAAAATGATCACCAAACATTAGTTGCACCACTTGATAATTACTCTATAAAAGATCAGCAAGGATTCAGCAAAACAGATGATACTAGCTTACCTGGTGCCATGTACCTGACTGTTCCTGGCATGCTAGCAGAAATCATGGAGCTATCATCACCTAACAGCAGCCTTGCAATACCAAAGTCTGACACATGCGCCGTCATGTCATCATCAAATAGCACGTTGCTAGGCTTCAAATCACAGTGCAGAACCACTTCGCAGTGCTCATGGTGCAGGTATTCCATTGCCATTGAAACGTCTAGCATAATATCCAATCGCTCAAGGAAACTTAATTGAATTCTTTGATCAGAGTGTAGAAGTGCCTCTAAGCTTCCATTGGGCATGTACTCAAGAACCAGTGCTCTGAAGTCCAGGTTGGAACAAGTGTTAAGTATCTTTATCAAGTTGCGATGCCTAGCCGTTCGAAGCACCTGACACTCAGTATCAAAGCTTCTAATGGCATGTTCCATATGTTGGTGTATAACTTTTATGGCAACCACCAAACCGCTGCTCAGCTGACCCTTAAAAACTTCTCCAAAGCTTCCAGAACCCAACATATTATCATCACTGAAATCATTAGTAGCACGAGCAAGCTCATGGTAGGAGAGTAGTTGATGACTGGCCATGTCAACCATACCAACAGACATCTTTTGGTGCTTAACTTTCTTTTTAAGAATTACATGTAAGCAGCAAGCTACAGCTCCAACTGTGATAATTATAGGAGGGACTAAGTATTTTATGATCCGATGGTTTTTTTTGGGAGAGGTTGTTTGGCATGGTGAAAATCCTAAACGGACAGCACCACATAGCCCTGAGTTCCCAACCAAGGATTCCAGCGTGATGTTTGAGAAGACACCTGTTTCTGGTATTTGACCATGTAGGTTGTTGAAAGATAGGTTCAAGCTGGAAAGGACAGTAAAATTGGCCAGGTATTCCGGGATGGTACCGGAAATATTGTTGTGGGATAGATCCAAAGTTTCTAAGCTGGTAAGCACACGAAAAGAATCTGGAATTGAATTTTGGAATGAATTGACTGATAGGTTCAAGTAGGCTATCATTTGAAGTTGTGCAATTGAATCTGGGAGGATGCCAGTGAAGTGGTTGCTAGAGAGATCCATGATATTCATTTGCTTCAAATAGCCTATATCAGCCGGTAATGCACCACTCAAGAAATTGTGGGACAGATCTAGTTTAACAAGTCTATCAAGATGAAATAAGCTCGGTGGTACAGTGGATGCTAGTTGGTTATCAGATAAATCTAGGTATTCTTACTTGGTCATGTTACTAATGCCCATCGATATGGAGCTGGAGAATTGGTTTGTTCCAAGAAATAATCTTTGAACATTCTTCAGCACGCCGATATTTGACGGTATGGGGCCAAACAAGCTATTTTCACTGAGATCAAGCCACTGTAGAATCTCCAAATCCATGATTGATTCTGATATTGTACTGTGCAGTTGGTTATCACTAAGATCTAGATACTTGAGACTAGTTAAGTTCCAAACTGTAGATGGAAGGACACCGGATATATTGTTTCGACGTGCGATGAATGCTTGCAGCGTGCTTGATAGATTGCCCACATAGTCTGGGAGGTTTCCGGTGAAATAATTTGAGTCGATTTCAAGGACAGAAAGCTTCCTACAGTTAGAAAGAGCAGACAAGAATTTAAGATCCCCCTGTAAGCTATTTTCGAAAATAACAAAGTATGTCAAAGAGTTCATGCTGCCAACTGTTGATGGGACAGATCCATCCAACAGGTTTGTGCTCAAATCCAGGCGTGATAATGCAGATAAGTTGCCGAGAGAAGCAGGGATGGGTCCCCTTAGTTGATTCCTTGCAATAAGCAAATCTGAAAGTTTTCCAAGCTTTCCAATATCTGCTGGAATGGTTCCTGTTAGGTTGCACGTGCTGAGCTCTAGGGAAGCCAGCATGGTAATGTTGCTTAACGCATCAGGGATTGAACCACCATCGAAGTGATTCTCACCCAAGTTGAGCTTGACGAGATTCGTCAACTTGCCCAGCCATGATGGCAAAGCACCCTCGAATAAGTTCTGAATGAGGGAAAAAACTTGGAGTTGCTGGCACGCCGCAAACCCCTGTGGAATTGGACCGGTGAAATTGTTGGCATCAATGGAGAAAAACCAGAGACTCGGGAGTCTGAAGCTTTCGTTGCCTGGGATAGGGCCAGTTAAGCCGTTCAAGGCAAGAGCAATAACTCCTAGCATAGACATGTTGAAGACGCCTGGTGGTACTGGTCCGGCAAGTTGATTAACCTGCAAGTCAAGGAATTGAAGCATGGGCAATGAGCCGATGCAGGCTGGTATTGATCCAGAAAGGCTGTTGTTGGCAATGTTGAGGTAAGATAACAAAGGTGTGTTGTTGAACAGACTGTTTGGGATCGACCCAGTGAGGCCATTGTTCTGAATGTTGATGCTGCGAAGGCTGTGCAGGCCCTGCAGATCGGCTGGGATTTGTCCAGAGAGCTGGTTAACCGCGAGACGAAGAACGCCAAGCCTCGTGAGGTTCCCTATGGAGGCTGGGATGACCCCTGAGAGGGCATTATTGCCAAGATCAAGGAGCTCGAGGCGATGCAGCCTTCCGATATCGTCTGGGATTGAACCCGTGAGGTTTGTGATGGTGAGGTTAAGGACGGAGAGGAAAGATAGGTTACCGATGTGAGGGCTCAGCTTTCCTTGGAGGGGAACTCCGGGCAGCTCCACTCCGGTGACACGCTGCCACTGCCGCCGGCTGCAAGTGATCCCCATCCACCGGCAGAACGGCGTGCCGGCAGTCCAGTTGGTGGCAAGAATGTTGTAGGGATCGGAGAGCTCACCTTTGAAAGCCAGCAGCGCAGCGAGATCGCTGTCGCTGCCATTGCTCTTGCTCGTCCCTGGAGGAGAAGCAGCAGCAGCAGCAACCACAGGGGACAAAGTGATCAACAGCAGAGCGGACATGATGATGCATACTGGAGATCCGAGCGCCATGACGACGCTGAAGTGATGCTTTTGTGGCAATTAACTTTGCAACAAGCTAAGAACTAACAAAGCATTATATGTATTTCCCTCCTCCTGATTGGCTGACTGACGGTAATCAATGAGCCCTTGGATGTTGTTTTCTCTCCACATGTGGGATTGTGGGGCATGAAACTTGTTTCTTTCACACTATTGACGAATCAAGACCTTGACAGATACAAGGTACATATAGCTATCTTTGCCGAATGAGTCGAATATATTGACTGTTGACCAATCATGCACGCACCGGTTTTGATTGGAACCTTGTTTGAGCTTTCTTTTTTAAAGCTGGATCAAAATATCGTCACAATCCGCTGGTGGAATTAGAATGGCAAAAATGAACCGTTCTGTCTGATTGAGATCAGTTACAGCACTGGAATATTCACTTGCTTTGGGTTGGTTGGTAAAACCACCTGAGTTAACTTGTTGACAAGCTGCTCTACAGTTCGATCCATGGCGTCTGCACTAGAGCGAATAAGGTAAATTTGACAGTGAAACCATTTCTTGCGTTCAAAAAAAAAAAAGGCTAAACCATTTCAGTCGCAAGAAATCTATTCTGATGGGCAAGGCAAGAAACTCTTACATGATTGCGTGACAGAAATACATGTTATGATGTTAAATTGGTAATTTTACCATCCTTAAGAAGATACCAAGAGATACCATATTTTCTAATGTAAAATTTGGTATCTTTAGGTACTAAGTATCTCAAGGTATAATTTAGATACCTTGATGTACTTTTCTAATAACGGTAAAATTCTTCTTTATAGTAATGTTTGTACAAATATCAATCAGCATGATGCTGCATATAACTCGCTAGAAGATTTACATGGGCCGGCCCCGAGAGCAATCAGGCACTGGGCCTTTATAACGGCACATGAGATGACGGCCCAAATAATTCAGGAGTAAAAAACGGCCTCAGGGCCGACGAATCGAAGCGGTCTGAAAAATTCAGGAGCTGTTTTTTAAGATTGCGTGGCTAGTATCGTTATATTTTTTTTTATATAATAGCACATATATTTTTATATTTTATTATTAAAATATATCAAAATGTATTTTATTTTTTTAAAAATAGTGGAGTGAGTCGATCAGACAAAACAAACGAACGGAAGAAAATAACAAAAACTAAATATCAATGTTTGTGCATTGAATGTATTAGTTTCTATCGATTAACAGTCGGTCAAAGAATAATAAGCTAGCTAGAGAGAGAGAATAATTAATGTGGACGAATTAACTTGAGTAACATGCACATAATTAAACACTACAGGAGTTCATTGCTTGTGTCAAAATTATGTGACGAAGCTTTGTTTCGTCACTGTTTATCGTATTTGTAATGATAAAATAAGGTTTTTGCCACTGTAATATCAATCATTAGTGCTAAAATGTTATAAGTCATCACAAGATATAGTATTAGTGACAATTCTTGAGCGAGAAATTATTAGTATTACATGTAAACAAAAGACACTACAATAAACACTGCAACGGTAACAATAGAAACGGTGTAATTAATACTACAATGCGGCGTCACGCAAACTCAAACCAACGTGCGTGATATCTGCTGTGCTGGGTAACGAGAGGCAACAAGCTAGCAAAGTCATCGACGGACCAACTGACCGAGAACCTGAAGATCGGGCTTGCATTCATCCAGTCGGCGTACGTGTAAATCGATCATCTAGGACGACACACGCGTGCATATTTGCTCTCTCAACTGCTTAAGCTCCTTGACAACATCCGCCATGGTTGGTCTCTTCTCCACCTTGTTTTTGAGACACCGGACCGCGACGGCCGCCATCCTGTCAAGGCACTCCATGCAGTAAGGATACAGTGCATCTGTAGACGACAACATGTCCTGGTCATACATCTTCCTCCTTTCGTTGTTGTCTTTGTACCGGTTGACAAATTCTATTGGGAGGCTTCTCCCATCGTCGTACTTGGCCTTTTTCCGGGTGATGAGCTCCAGGAGCACGACCCCGTAACTATAGACATCGCTCTCCATAGTACAGTACTTGCCCGTTTGTATGCATACAGGGTCGACATAGTTCATATCAGCACACACATGCTTCATTTTCAATGCGAGCTCAGATGACCCAAAGTCGGAGACCTTAGGGATAAGGTTGTCATCAAGAAGGATGTTGGCTGGCTTGACATCTCCATGAACAACGCTTTGGAGGCCAGATGAGTGCATATAGGAGAGAGCCTCTGCGGAACCAATGGCAATGTCAAGGCGATTTAGTAGCGAGAGAGTTTGCCGCTCGAATCCGTGTAGTTTTTTCTCGAGGCTCCCCTGGGGGATGAACTCAAAGACCAGCATGGGGACCTTTGTCTGTAGGCAACATCCTATGAGACGAACCACGTTCACATGCCTAATAAGTGATTGGATCCTTAACTCATCAACAAATTCTTGGCCACGCGCTCGCGATGATGGAACTTTTGTTGGAACGAGAAATTTTGGCCAACGAAAAGCATTTTGTGTTCGTGTTGCACCCTTTGCGATGGAGTATTTGACGGCGACCTGCTGGTCTTTGTAGGTTCCCATGTAGACTTCACCAAAGGCACCCTGCCCAATCTTGGTGCACTTCCCTTTTGTTATACTGTCCAGCTCCTTCTCCGTGAATATAGTAATGCCCATACCCTCAAGCAGCCGGCCACCGTTATTATCAAAGAACCATCTACGCCTCCATTTCTTTTGCAAGAACAAAAGAGCAAGAAAAGCAATCACCGCGCAAACCGTGGCTGTATATATAGTGAGAGAAATAGTCAAGAGAGAAAGTCATTATGTCTTTTTTTTTTACCAAAGGTTAGAGACCCGGCTTTTAAATGAAAGCCAAAACAATATAGTTTAGCTGGGGACGCCAGCGTACAGTAGAGGAAGCTCCCAAAGGGATCAGCCAACACCGGAGCCCAACTAGCCATCCAACTCTTAAGCAACGAAAACTATTTGATTGAACTCCCAAATATTAACACTACTAATCCCCCACACATTACGTCTTTTTGCCGGTCATTGAAAAATAATCCTCCCTTCCGCATTGTGCCATTGTAAATGATCCAAACTAAAGTAGCACTCAGATTTTAACAAATACCAAAAATAACATGAAAACTAAATTATGGCCACTTAATAATATTCATAGAAGCATAAAACTGGTATTTTATGATATTATTATTATTATTATTAAATATTCCACGGGCATGTTTTGGTATGTTTTACAAAATAATGTGTACCATAGAATTATATATATGCATGGTATATCATAAATATTTTTTTGGAATATAAGAGATATGCAATATATATATATGAAGTGTGAAAATATTTTTCTTCAAACATTTTGTTTTTGAGCTACATGTACAAACATTTCAAGCTATAATTAAAAAAGAACTTTCCTCTCATCTTTTTGAAATTTTCTTACCATAAATTTGATTACAGGCACTACTTCAAAACCACTCATAGGTATCGGGACATAGGTGCCGGTTCTTTTAAAACCGGCACCAATAGGCCTTTTCCCATCTTCGTGTGATAAAAAAAATCGGCACCTTTGAGCCCTATAGGTATCGTTTATAGAGGAAAAACAAACACCTATACTATATGTGCATTTTTTAAAAAAAAGAGTTGGTACCTATAATATATTATAGGTACCGGTTTTCTAAAGAACCGACAACTATAATATATTATAGGTGCCGGTATTTTAAAAAAACCGACACCAATAGAAACAGACCGAACCAAACCCCCACCGAGCCGATAGCCCCCACCACATAAAAAAAAACCCCATCTGCCGATCCGCGCAACCTTATCCTCTCCCCATCCTCTGTCTTCTCACACCTTCCTCCCCCTTCTCGATCCGGTTCTCTCCCCTCCCCTTCCCCCCTCCGTCCGTCCTCCTCCTCCTCTCCAACTACGCCCACCTCCTCCTCATCTTGAGAAGCTCGTGAACGATGGCAGTCACCGTGGCCGGGAGATGCGAGGAGGTGTGCTCCACCGACACCACTCCTCTGGGATCACCTCGCGCCAGCGCCAAGGCCAGTGACGGCCGAGAAGGCTTCCTCCACAGCTTCTTCACTGTCGGCTCCACAATGGGGCATGAAGGCGGCTGCGGCCGCGGCTAGAGGAGGTGGGGCAATGTGGCGGGGTTGTCTCAGGGCGGTGTTCCTGGCCGTGGTGCAGCTCAAATTGACGCGGTACAAGAAAGCAGAGCAAGAAGTAGCTCAAATTGGCCATGGTGGAGCGCTCTCACAAAATGAACTAGAGAGGTGGAGCTTTGGTTTAGGCAGCTCCTCAACTCCACTCCAGACTCAACTCCTAGAGTTAAATTTAGGAGTTGGAGCTATACCAAACCAAACAATACCAAAATTTGCCTTGAGCTGGCGGCTGAGGGTGCGATTGCCTTAGCGTGGAGTTGTGATTTGGGATTTTTTTATTTGGATGAACTTGTTTTTGTCAAATGAAGATTGTGATTTGGGGATTTGTGTGTGTGTGTGTATTGTGAGTTGTGATCTATGGATGTGGATTAAATTTGCTTTGGGGCAACAGGGAGTAACTCGATGCATCGGCTCGAATCGAGCTGATGGATCGAGATTTTTTTTTTATCGTGTGTTCCTTAAAGGTGCCAGTCCCACAACCGGCACCTTTGACTTTGGACTATTGGTACCGCTAAATTGGTACGGTAAAAAGAAAAATAAATACTAGCGGAAGATCTAAAATTTTGATAGTGGAAGAGGGAATATGGTCTCAATTAGTGGAAACAAAGAAATAAAAATTCTCAATATATAGTTAATGATAGTACCCGCCCGCGATCGGTATATTTTAGCTACCTACTTTGCTATTTTATTCGTATTGATCAATATTAATAGCCAAAATTAAGTGAGCTTAATTATAGAATAATTAAGGTCAACTCACCAAGTATCGCTACGATAGGTGCTGGAATCATGGGCCTGCATCCCTGGTCACTGGTTTTACCATTCCCTTTAAGTCCAAAGCGGCATTTGCAGTCATAACCACCAACTGTGTCGATGCATCTGCTACCACGGTAACAAGGATAGAGTTTCTCGTACTTGGCGGGATCAGCTTTCCTAAGCTCACACTCATTAATATCTGCACATCGGTGATAAAAAAGCACTAAATCTGTCATATTCAAACAGACTATATTCAATCAACTAATGCTGTAAGCAAATTGAATACTGTAGTAAGCTACTTATATGCATGAATGGTAACCCATGTCATATGGAAGAAAATTGCCCGAGATCAGTAGTACTACCTCCTTCCCAAAATAATTATATTTCTAGGATTCAAAATTCATCTCAAAATAATTGTAATTCTAGAGTACTAATTGCCCCATCAATCATCTCTCATTCAAATTTCTCCCTATTTTACCCTCAACCATCTTTCCACTCTCACATAAACACCATTTAACGAGGGACATCATAGTCTTTCTTTTCGAACCTTAATATATGTTAAACAACATAGAATTACAATTAGTATATATACTAGTACTCCGTATTAATTAAGAACTAACTTGTGCATCCGTCGTTGCCGGTAACATAGGGATTGCCGGCGTATCCCTCGGAGCACTTGCAGAGGTATCCATTCCCGTTGGTGACATTGACGCACTTACTGTTTGCGCTGACACAGGCAGGAGCTACCTGTCCTGCAGCTGATCTTGCAGCTGATGGGCACGATCCATTTTTCCTGATGGCCCAATCAAGCACCGTTGGGACCATGTTCTTCCCATTCCGGTGTCCAAACCTCTTACTGCCGGCACGACTGAAATCTTTCCTGGTGAAATTGTACCTATATTACGTAGTAAAAAATTATATATGTATGCACAAGGTACAGTACATTCATAGATAACACTGACATTCTAAAACATGACATCAGGAGTACCATATATGGACACTTTAGCTTTTTTCTCTAGAATTTATTTTTATTTCGAAATAAATTTACTATGTTTTAGAATTAGGAACTATAAGGTTGTATGTGTGTGTGTGTGTATATATATATATATATATATATATATATATATAGAGTAGCTCTATTATAGATCCCTTCCCTAGAATAACTATTCTACATCCCCTCCCCCCTCCCATCCGTCCCCACCTCCCTTTCCCCATCCCACGCGCGGCCCCTCCTCCTCTCGCGCCTCTCTCCCCCTCTTTTTTCCCTCCTCTCGTGCTTTTTTTTCTTTTCCTCCCGATCTCTCTCTCCCCCTCCTCCCGATCTGCCTCTCTCCCCCTCTTTTTTCGTTTTTCTCTCCCTCCTCTCCTGCCTTTTTTTTCTTTTCCTCCTGATCCTTCTCTCCTCCCTCCCGATCTGCCTCTCTCCCCCTCTTTTTTCGTTTTTCTCTCCCTCCTCTCCTGCCTTTTTTTCTTTTCCTCCCGATCCTTCCCTCCCGATCTGCCTCTCTCCCCCTCTTTTTTCGTTTTTCTCTCCCTCCTCTCCTGCCTTTTTTTTCTTTTCCTCCTGATCCTTCTCTCCTCCCTCCCGATCTGCCTCTCTCCCCCTCTTTTTTCGTTTTTCTCTCCCTCCTCTCCTGCCTTTTTTTCTTTTCCTCCCGATCCTTCTCTCCCCCCTCTTTTTTCGTTTTTCTCTCCCTCCTCTCCTGCCTTTTTTTCTTTTCCTCCCGATCCTTCTCTCCTCTCTATTTTTTCGTTTTCTTTTTCTTTCTCTTCTCTCCCTTTGCTTCACCTTGAAAGAAAATTAAAAATTAAAGACAAACCAAGACTTGAACCCATGATCTCATGTTTCATAGCAAACTCTTCTAGCCAATTTTCCTTATGATACTATGTGATTTGATCATTGTTTGCTTGCTTTGTATGTATGTCCAAATTTTATGAGAACAAATTAGCTAGTTATGTTACTGTAATAATCATACATTGTTATTATGATTCGGCAGTAACATTACCATGTAAGGGTAGTAACATGATATGTTACTACAAAATTTATATCTTGTTACTGGCAGTAACAACATGACGAAATTTGTAGTAACAAAGAACCTGCATAGTAACAGCGGCCGCCCTATAGTAGTAATGTTTTTTAGATCTAGAGTATTTTAAATCTCAATCTTTATAGAGTACTAATGTACACGTCATGTCTTATTTTTCTAACCCATTTACATCATGGCGTTCGTAAAAGAAAAGTGCTTAACGAAACTAGAACTATCATAACTATTTTTTAACGTTGTTACTGCGAAAAGCAGAAGTGTTACTGCATATTGGCCATCGTGTTATTACGCTATTCCAGTGAGACGAGGACTAAAAAAAGAGGTAAATCTCAATCTTTAGAGAGCAATATCTCTCACATCATATCTTGTATTTCCAATCTGTTTGCACCATGAAGTTTATAAAAAAACGCTTAACAAAACTAGATCCATCATGGCTACTTTTTGACGTTGTTATTGCGATAATGTTGTCTTGTTACTGCACGATGACCGTCCTGTTACTGCACGATTCCTGCAAGACGAGAGCAGCAAAGTGGTGGGCGGGTTTGATTGGCGGGAGGATGCTTTGACCGAGGTGGGAAGGGGGTTTTGGGCCCTAGGAAGGGTGGGGGAGGTGGGTTTGACCCATGGGAGGGTGGGGGTGTAGAATAGTTATTCTAGGGGTGGGGTGTAGAATAGATTCACTCTATACACACACACACACACATACTTTACATACTTTATCTATAAAGTTACAATCCATTAGGTCTAAATCTCAACAAGCAACCATGCCACATCATCACCTACTAGGAACAATTACATATTTAACTTCATGCAAGCATGTAACATCATCTACAATCTATTTAATTCTACAAATCAACATGTAAGCATATCCAATCATCAACCCTCACATCATTTCCATAATATTTTAACAAATCTATCTATCATTTTTATAATATTTAACATATAATTATTAATATATACGTTTTATGTTAAAGCGTGTGTATCATTTATTTGTTTTATATACTAATAAACCCACCACCTGATGTTTCATTATTTTTTTCTTTTTACTTCTATCTCGATTGTTGAAAAAAAAATATTGAAGATTGCTTAGTAATTCCCGTAGTCTCGCAGTATATCTTGAACTTCTAACATGCACCACTTTTCCTCCAGATGTAGTCGATTCATTTGTTTCTTGTTTTTTTCTACTTCTAAAACAACATTTTTGTTGTGCAGTATGTAAAATATCTTTGTTTTGTTCATACATAGTCTGGATGATTCAATATTACAATTTGCATGATAATAGAATTAGTCTAGATGCATTATTATGCTTATATAAACCATAAGACCTCATCTTTTCACTTATGTTTATGCTTATCAGCTAAAATATGAATTTTCAATCTTAAATTTCGAGCTGCTTTTGGGATTTTTTTTTCATCGAAGTTTATTTTTCAGTTTTTGCTTTTAGATCGCTAAGAACACATGTATAAAAATTTTATTTACAAATTACTTTTCATTTGCAAATATGCCGTTTCGCTTATTTCACGAATAAGTGAAACAATGAGGCTTTATATAATTTCTAGATTTATACTCTCTCCGTCCTATAATATAAGTGATTTTGGGTGGATGTGACACATTCTAGTACAATAAATTTGGGCGTATAGGATGTCTAGATTCATTGTATACTAGAATATGTCACATCAATCCAAAATCCATTATATTATGCGGCGGAGGGAGTATAAGGCAGTGCTGCATCCCAATTTTCGGGTGAAGTTTTAACAAATGCTGTGCACTTACCAGCCTTTCTCGGCAACGAAGGCGTAGCTGCAGGGGCTGTCTGCCCGCACGAGGTCGTCGTCGAAGCCGTCACCCCAGGAAATATTTAAGACACTAAGGTTGGGCGGGATGGAAGGCACCTGGCAGCAACCCAGCCCCGTACATGGGTCACCGTCGTGGGCGGCCTTATCCAAGCTCGCGCACGTCGAGATGCATCCGGTCGAGTAGCTCCCTTTCTTCCTGCCAATCAGAAACGCTACCGTGTTGCAGCCGATCGCCGTGAACTCGTTCCTTTTCCGCGACAAGCGAGATTTGCCATGGAGCTTCAACCGCGTGGAGACGTGCTCCTCGTGGTGTGATGAGTCGTAGCATTGGTGGGCCACATGAGTGTAGACGCGCATCTCCCCTGCCTCCAGCGAGATGTCCTTGATCTCTATGGTGCCCGTGTACGGCCTGGGAGGGCTAAAGCTATGGTTGCATTTGATGGTGAAGCCCGGCCAGGCGCAGTCGACGCCGATGCCGAATGGGTAGGGGATCTCCACGTTGCCGCACTTGCTCGGGCACGCCGCCGGCACCGGCGCCGGCGCCGGCGTAGCCGGCACTGCCAGATCAGAAAGTGTCGCCGCTGCTGCAGGAGCATGAAGAAACCAGCATAGCACAACTACTACTATGTGTGGCATGGCAATTAGTCGTCGTATGCGAATTTCGTCGTTTTTGCCCATTTCTAGTAGCTAGCTATGCGTGCGGATTTGCAGTGACCACGCATGTCTTTATATAGTGGATCGAGTTGTACTACTAGTAGACATATATACGGTGTTTAGCTAGCTAACGTTTTTAATCCTATATTATGCATCAAGATCGCCAATGATGGTCTCCTAACATACAACCTCCGCCCCTAAATATTTGATGCCGTTGTCTTTTTTAAACATGTTTGACCGTTTTAATAATCTGTTAGATACAATCATCTAGAGTAACCTGAAGCACCATGATTGTTTACTAGCTAGATCGTTGTACCCATTACTTGAGTGCAAGCTATTAGACGTCTACAACTTGAAGGCAAAGTAAATTTTCTAGCACCATTATAATTTTTCTCTATTCAAGATAATAAATAGATTACTAAGTTAGAATAGATAAAAAAAAACACAACCATGTTTTCCTCTAAATTAGAATAGATTAAAAAAAAGTTGTTGTATGGTACACAGTCTATGGAGTTATATGTGATTTGTTATATATCCGTTGGCGTTGTTAATTGGGGCATTTGCAAATTTGCCACCGTTTTTTCAATATTGCAAGGATGTCACTCGAATGATAGTTCTAGTGGTATTTTTGCAATTTTCTATTGGCAATTTTACAATAACGATTTAAAGTAGTGGAAAATTTACAATTGCCCCTTGTTAATTAGGTTTGCCTAGGCTCACACAAATTTCTAGATCTGCCACTGTATGGACATTTTCTATTATGGGACTCAAGCTAGGTTAACCGTAGTTTCGCCACTGTTTAATTAATGCTATACGCAAATTTCACATTCTTAATACTCCCTCCCTTCCAAAAAAAAATACAATTTATACCCGGCATGGATGAAAGTGAGAGGGTGTGGTTGGGTAAAATGGAGAAATATAGTCAGGGTAGGTTGTTGGAGGGGAAATAGTACTATAAATATTCTAGAAATTTATTTTTATGGGATAAAATTTAAATGTTAGGATTGAATTGTCTATGGCATGGGTTGGAGGGAAGTATATTGTCTATGCCGTCTTTGGATACCATTACTAGTATAGACGTCGGCGATGTTGGGTTAAATATATATAATAATTGGCATATATAGACGTTGGCCATTTCTGGAGTATATATGCCGAGTAGCTGACAAGTATCTTTGTAATTACGTCGTCAACGAGTAAAGTCAACAGTTAATTACTACAAAAACGTGCATATAAATTAATGCACATGTATACCAGACTTAATATCTCGCTACTCGCGCGCGTTGTTGCCAAGTTTCACAAATCATAACACTAACAACAACTCGCTATCAGACAATGAAACAAACTATATACTCTATGTCAATACAGTGGTCTGTGTCATTCTGTCCATCTAGCTGAGGTTTGACTTGTACATCGCTTATTTAATGGAACGAAACAGACGGCGGACGATGACTTGTAAATGGCTGATAAGGAGGAATTTTTTATCTGGTGTGTACTAGTGATATGATTGACGAACGATGTATTATTTGATTAAAGGTTGGCGCCAAAGATTATTACAGCATGCAAGTTGTAGGGTGGATTGGGCGTCGGAACAGCAGCACACACACTCCAGACGAAACCTTTTACGTTGCTGTGGAAAATGGTAGAAAATTAAGTGTAAGATGAATTTATTTGTTAGCTAGACAACGTAATTTTAAATCGAACGACTCCTAAGTCTCTAACATCTGCGGTGCCCTTACTGTCTCGCTCATCTCCCAGTTTCTCTTTATTTAGGATGCGGTGCTTCACGTACAACTCTCGCCAGGGGGTCGAGGATCGTCTCGTTTGGCGATGGATGTCTGACCAGCGCTGCTCAGCGCATTCGGCGTACCAGGCATTCTTCTATGGCCTCCATTCTTTTGCCTGTACTAATCTTCTCTGACACACAAAGGATCCTGCTAAATGCAGGTTCTTCCTTTAGTTTGCATTCCAGCAGTGCTGCTGGACGGCTGATCTCCTCCAGAAACGTGGTATCGATAGTCACTCGGCTTGCCCCTTTTGTACTCAGGATCTTGAGACAGTGAACCACATTCTCCTTGATTGCGTGTTCGCTCGGCAAGTCTGGTTATGGTTCCAGGACTGGTGGCCATCCTCCAGAGCTTGCTTACCTGAGCATCTCTGTGCCGGCTTCGACCCCCTGGTGCTCCTGGTCTCTTAGCAGTTATGGAAGGAACGGAACTCTAGGGTTTTTGACTCCGTGCTCTCTTCCGTCACAGTGGTTCTGTAGTCCATCCGTTCTGAGGGCCATCTGTGGTCTTTAGCTGGCGTTGCCGCTTTTGGGGACTTGTTGAGAGTGTAGCGTGGCTAGGCCCCTTTCCGCTGCTTGGAGTTTGTGTTTAGCCACCGTAGTTTCTCTAGCTTTAACTTTTTATTTTGCTTTTTCTCCCTTCCCCTGCCATAAGCTGGTCTGGCTGATTGCGTGATGTAACTAAAATTCCGAACGTTTTGTATACATAATTAAGAGAATAACTGAACTTGTGACAGAAGTAAATCGTCTATACACATTCATTACAGCTGAGGATTAAATGCTGGGTGAATTTGTATGGCTGAAAATATAAAGACTCTGTAACATCAACGCGAGTAAAAGCTTAGCCGAATTAGTCCGGTCATTATATTCTTACTGATGTAACCTGGCCGTGTACATACGGACATTACTCTTGTAACATTGTAACATTGGCTTGTTTTGAAGGGCGACGATCGAAACGGATGCCATGGCTGAGAAAGAGCATTGCCACGACAAAAGGAAGAATTAATTAAGTTTGTCAATAGCTGGACGCGCATTCACACTTTGCGATGTATATATTGACTGTGTGGCTCGTGGATCTATACAATGGATACACACGTTAAACGACACCTTGAAGAAAACTCTTGTGAAATTAAACTGAAGCTTTCGGATCAGAATCTGTACTCGACAAACGCCGTGTTTAGTTCCAAAATTTTTTTAAAACTTTTAACTTTTTCATCACATCAACACTTTTCTACACACAGAAACTTCCAACTTTTCCGTCACATCGTTCCAATTTAAAGCAAACTTCCAATTTCAACGTAAACTAAACACACCCAAAAGCTGAGTTTTGGGAGGATCTACAGTATGTATACAAACACAAGAAGCACTTTTCAAATCAAGCTAAAACATGTTTACTATCATATACTAAAAATTTTCATATTAATTAGTTAGAAAAAAATTCAAGTAGAAATACAATTCAAAATATATGAAATTTAAATTAAAGAAAATTCATTTAGAATACAATATGGATTCATTAAAATTTCAAAATAAAAATATAATACCATCACTGGATATCTATTGTAGTTGCTGCGTAGTTTCCGAAAGCTAGCAAGCACTTGCTATCAAGCAACGAAACAAACAGTGGCCACACCTTGTCCATCTAGACTTGATTAGTTGACATGTACATTTCCTTGGCTTGGAGGGCACACAAAACTTATGGGCAACGACACACTTATGATGATAGTTGAGTGGACGTCAACTCCTGATAGTAGCAAAACCAAAAGTTGGGCATTGAGTAGTGGTGGGCGTATGGATTTACTGATTCTCCGTTTCCGTTGACTTTTTAGCATATGTTTGACTGTTCGTGTTATTCAAAAAATTTTGTGAAATATGTAAAACTATATGTATACACGAAAGTAAATTTAACAATGAATCAAATGATAGGAAAATAATTAATAATTACTTATTTTTTTAATAAGACGAATGGTCAAACATGTTTAAAAAAGTCAACGGCGTCAAATATTTACAAACAGAGGGAATAGGTTTGTTTTAAATGGGTTTATGAAAGGTCTGTTTTCTATTAAATGACAACCGAATAATGTGTGATCACTGGTGGAGAAACCATCTTTCGTCGGTCGGCCGATTTCCACAATAGTCCCGGATGCAATAAAAACCGGGGCTAAAGATGATCTTTAGTCCCGGTTCAAAAGGGTAACGGGCATATTTGATCTTTAGTCCCGGTTTGTGTTACCAACCGGGACTAAAGATCATCTTTAGTCCCGGTTCGAATGCTGTCAGGGCCTGTCAGGCCCCCCCGGGATCTTTAGTCCCGGTTGGTAATACCAACCAGGACTAAAGATCGTAACTTTAGTCCCGGTTGGTAATACCAACCGGGACTAAAGATCCCGGTGATCTTTAGCCCCGGTTGGTGCTACCAACCGGGACTAAAGTCCCACCCCTATATATATGTCTTCTTCCTCCTCCAGCTGCCCGAGCAAGCTTCAAAATTTCTTCAAAAAAGAGGGGAGGTCATGCCAAAATTTCTATTGAATTTATTTTGGTGATTACATACAAATCGGAGGTGCCTAAAAGGTTTGCAACTTCATCCTCCAATGTTTTTTTTTGTCATACTACATTTGCACCTATGTTTTGCACACTTTTTTTTGTCTCCAAAATTTAGTTGTAAGTTGATGAGAGAGAAAATGTGTGTGGGGAAGAAAGAATATATAGAAATTTAGTTCATTTGCTAAACAAGTTTTTATAAAATAGTTGAGAAGGAAAACTCTAGTGAAAGTTAATCTTAAATAATAGAAAACAAACTAAAATGAAAATTAAAAGAAGTAAAACACATTAAAATTAGTTTAAAACTTTACAAATAGTTTTTAAGAATTATTTGGTGTATTATTTTATGATTTTTGTATGAATAAAGATATCTTATAATTATTGTATGACTGTCATTATTATAAGAAGAATAATTATTTGTGTACGGTTTTTTTGACTCATGTAGATGGATCGGCAATGGATGTACGCTGACCGGCGGTCCAAAGAGTTTATTGACGGCGTGCACTATTTTTTGAGAGTGGCCGAAGCTAACAGGAAAAGGGATTTTATTTGTTGTCCATGCAATAAGTGTAAGAATCAGAAGGAGTATTCTGCATCCAGGACTATTCATTTCCACTTGTTTGAGTCGGGGTTCATGCCAAGCTATAATTGTTGGACATCCCACGGAGAGCAAGGTGTTGAAATGGAAGAAGATGAAGTAGAAGACGACAATATTCCGGACTTTGCTCAGTTTGTTGGATTTGAAGGAAATCAAA